TTTTTATATATATATATATATATATATATATATATATATATATATATATGCCTATTATTGCAGTTATACTGATTGTTTTTATTATATGGCGTAAGCTGTCACAGTGGGAAGCTTATTTAATGGCTTTTCAGCTTAATTTGAAAAATGAAGCCATTATAACACACCAAAAACAGTTAATAAAACCAAAAAATTGATCAGATAAAGTTATCAGAAAGTAGAAATGACATATACATAAACAATTCTATAGTTTAAAATCATACCAGAATGTATTTCAGAGTGTTTTGCGACGTGTATTGCCTAACTGCTGTAGCAAGAAATATTACAAGAATCTTTTTTTTTTGCAGAAATTAAGATAATCATTAAATAATTTTGAACTAGATGTTTGAAACCAACGTACAAAAACCCACATTTGTGCAATTGTTCTTCTGACTCAAAGTCTTATAGTTACTGTGATGAAACCCTTGTGACAACTTTCCTGTGTGACAACTAGCCCCGGTCTCCCCTATATAGGTGTACTTCGGGATCATGTGATACTTCTACTGCGTTCAGATGAGCTGTCGGAAAGGATAGTACAGATCAAATAGCTCTGTTGCTTTGCGTCACTGACATTCAATCCACCCTAGTTACTTTACAGGTGCTTTTAGTGCAGAAGGCGGCCTAGAAACGCTTCAGTGTGTTTTAATGTAAAGGAGCATTTTAATAATTAACATTTTACATTTTTGTCATAGTTTGATCATCTGTGTCCATCTGCATTCTGCACGGTGCACATCAGAGATGTCAATAAGGCTCATCCTCAATCAATATACAGTATCTAACGATAACCTTCATACACTTAATGTATAAAACATGACGAACAGCAGCATTAAAGTAAATATTTCAATACTAAAAATAAAGCAAACAAACAAACACATTTTAAAACTTAACTTCCAGCGCCTGACTGACTTTTCTCCCAGATGATATGGAAGTACTCTGGACTGGTGCACCTTTAACATACAGTCACAAGGTCAAAGATCTGTTCTTCAACAGCTATCTTGTCTTGATATGATGAAGAGACTTATCTTGTGTTAATCTCAGAGTTTAGCATATCAGCCCTTGTAATTATCAGGTTTATAGTGATTAGATTCTAACTTTTATCAATGAACGACGTCTTTTGTATATCACACGGGTCAAATAAAATGTAAACGCAATAACCCAGTGTTGAGAAATGATGTTGAAGCTGTCAGGTTGACGGAGGTGTTTTGTGTGTGTTAGGATGTTGCGGTTGGCGTGCTCCACGGCCCTTCTCTTCGTGCTCAGGCTGTTCGCCGGCCTGCCCTGGCTCCAGGTTCTGCCGTCCATTGTGATTTTCTTCCTGGGCTCTGGAGGATGGAAGTCTTTCCATGTGTTTTCAAAGACCATATACCGCGATTTGCAGTAAGTTTATGTTCCAATATCCTTTTTAGCATTTTTATGAAATATATGCACTAGTGGTTGACCGATATTGGTTTTTGCCGATATCTTGGAAAGCAGGGTGGCCGATGTAAAGCCGATATAATTTTATTTATTTTAATTAATGTTTAAGAAATTTGAAATCATTTGAAAATGGATTAAAAAGTAAATGTGTTAAATAAACATACCTATACTTTAGATGACAAAGTATTTTTCACAAATAAATAAATATTTTATAAATAATATAATAAAAAAAGGAACTGTAACCAACAGGGCTCTCAGTATTCTGGGAAGTTTGTGTGCATTGGGAATCATATATTTTTCAAATAAAGCCAAGGTAACACTCATTTTACATACAGCAGCACACAGTGGAAATTACATGAATATGGCAGTGGGCAAATACATAAAGCGCAGCATAATTTGAACTCACAAATTTAAAGTTTGTCGATCGCACGTCTCCATTGAAGCTGAACTCTCCTCCTGTCCGCATTCAATTCACACGGATCGACCGTCACGCAGAGAACACGCGATCATGCAGGTCACATGCACACTTCACAAGATCTCACAACTGGATCCAAATAAGTTTGCAAGTTTTGTGAAATTAAATGTTCATTAGTCATTCAAAGATTTGTTTAAATGATATAAATGCGTATTTGCTGAATGCTGACAGCAAACAAGAAAGTATTATAATGTTTGCCTTTCTATTACTAATCATATAAAAGCAATTACATTTTAATTCCTTTGTTTAACCGTTCTATCTGATTATTAGACAGACTTCTATCCGTATTAGACAGAACTGTTAACGGCGACGGCGAACAAGAGGGAGAATGTGAGCACTGTGTACAAAATAAAAGTTGAACCCATCGGCCAAACAGGAAAACTTATCGGCCGATATTTAAAAAAAAAAAGAGCCAAATATCGGCCGATATATCGGCCTTCGCGATATATCGGTCGACCGCTATTATACACTACTGTGCAAAAGTCTTAGGCCATTAGTATTTTCATCAACACAAAATGGTTGTATTCAGTTATTTCTATCTTTTGCTGTAGTGTGTCAGTAGGAAATATCAGTTTACATTTCTAAGCATTCATTTTGCCATCTTTATTTGACCCTCTAACTCTAGCACTCTCTATTCTAATTCTATTCTTAAAAAAAACTAACTTGCTAAAGACTTGCACTCTATTCATTTGCTGCTTGTTTTCTTGAAACAAAAACAACAACTAACACTTGCTTTCTAATCTTTTTGTATTCGATCTGTTTTCTTTTCATTTATTATACAGTTAACAAAAGCAAAAAATACCTCTAACACTAGCTTGCTCTATTCTTTTTCTATTCTATCTGTTTTCTTTTTATTTATTATATTATTTAAAAAGCCCTTGCTACGTGTACTGTGTTAAGCTAACTGAGACTTGTTATAGCACTTGCATATCATTGCTCTTTTGTTGATTTTGATTGCTTCCATTGTCCTCATTTGTAAGTTGCTTTGGATAAAACCGTCTGCTAAATGTCTAAATGTAAATACTAGTAGCCTAAGACTTTTGCGCAGTAGTGTATATGTACTTTTTATATACTTATCCACTTTTTTGAAGTCATCAAAACTATTAAAAAATACAGGAACACAACATGAAAATAAGGAACACAGTTGGAAGTAGTTCTATAGGGAACAATAATATCAAATAAATAAAAAATATACTTTATTTTAGCTTTCCACCCTTTGTCTAGATTCCAGCTGTGCACATTCTGGAAATGTTCTCAACCAAATTCACAAAATGCATCCATCAAGCTAATTATCTGTCAAACATATTTTATTGAGCTGTAATATTTTTTACAGCGAACATAGTTTTTGTTTTCTGTTTTAATCAAGTTAATCCAAATGTAGTTTTAGTTATTTAGGAAAATGGGTCTTAAATATCTTATTTAGTTCCTGTTTTAAATTACATAAATTCAACACAAGCTGCACACTTGGTTTTTCTTCCGTGTCTGGTCACTATCAACTCATTCATTAAACATTTGAGGATAAAGAATTTAATATGTAGGTGTTTTAAATTTTTGTCTACAAACAGACTATACATCAAAACACACACACAAAAAAAACAATATAATGGTCATGTAATACATGAACCTGTTCCCTTTGTAAAAGGTGTTCCTCAGCAAATACAACCGCACAGTACTGTATTATGAGCTGTGTGTTTTTTAAGGGGAACAAGTGGTTGAAATGGGTTTCTGGGCTGTTCCTGGTGGGTTCAGCTTTTTTTCCCTTTAAAGAGACTTGAGAGTAGGTTTTGAAATGTGAATGGAGTCATCTAAAGCATGATTGCTAAGCGTTGAGGAGACTTTGAGGAGTTTTTCTTTTTTCATATCAAAACTGAACCTCTGCTAACAATCACAGTTTTGTCACTTGGTGAAATCCAGTCTCCACTTCAGCTCCTGGAGGTGTGGGTTTATCGTATCGACAGCACTGATTACTCTGTAAGTGGAGGACGGAGGCTTTTAGGGGAGCTGTTAATGAACGTAGGAACTCTTTTGGGTCAGGAATCACCGCCATTACCATTAAACAGATGATAATGCGCATTAAACCTACACAACAGTGTAAAGTACATCACCGGTCAAAAGTTTGGCATAATTAAGATTTCTTTCATTTATTTGAGAGGAGTTCCCTATGCTAATCAGACTGCATTCATTTGATAGAAACATACAGTAACAACAGTATTAATGTGAAATATTATTAGAATTTAAAATAACTGTTTTCTATTTTAATATATTTTAAAGGGTAATTTATTCCTGTGATCAAAGCTGAATTTTCAGCATCATTACTCCAGTCTTCAGTGTCACATGATCCTTCAGAAATCATTCTGATATGCTGATTTGATGCTTAATAAACATTTATTATTGTTGTGCTGATTTTTGTTTTGTTCAGTTTTTTGGAAAGCATTGTCCTTGCCCAAACTTTTAAATGGTGGTGTAAGATTTATAAAAAAAAAAAAAACATTATATTTTTATTCAGCAAGAACTCATTAAACTGATTTTTTTTTTTAACACAGTAAAATACATTCATAATGTTGCATTAATTTCTATTTAAAAAAAACGCTGTTCTTTTAAACTTTCTACTCGTCAAAGAATCCCGAAAAAAAGGTTCCACAAAAATGTGAAGTTTAAGCTTTCAACATTAATTATAATAGCAACCGTTATTAATAATTGAGCGCCAGCAGCAAATCAGCATATCAGAATGATTTCTGAAGGATCATGTGACACTGAAGACTGGAGTAATGATGCTGAAAATTCAGCTTTGATCACAGGAATAAAATATATTTCAATAGAAAAGTTATTTTAAATTGCAGTAACATTTCCCAATATTACTGCATTTTTGATCAAATAAATACATCCTTGGTGAGCAGAAGAGACTTGCAGAAACATTAAGAAAACATTTGACCGGTTGTATAACTATTTTAAAATGAAAAGTTTACCCAAAGCTCAAAAGAGGTCTTTTAAAGATCCTGCCCAGAATAATCCATCAGAGTCATAATGTCATATCATAATGTGTTCTCTTACAGTGCAGCCAGTGTGTTGCTGAGGGTAAAACTCGATGTCAAAAAGCACCTCCGTGAGCGCAACACCATTCCCAAACTTTTTGCCAAGTCCGTCAAGAAATACGGTGACAAGACGGCTCTGATTTTTGAAGGAACGGACGAAAAATGGAGCTTCAAGGAGCTTGACGAGTACTCCAACCGCGTGGCTAACCTTCTGCTTCAGAGGGGCTTCAAGGAAGGCGACGTGATCGCTCTGTTCATGGAGAACCGCTCTCAGTACGTGGGGCTCTGGCTGGGAATGGCAAAGATCGGAGTGGAGGCAGCTCTCATCAACTTCAACCTGAGACTGGAGGCCCTGGTGCACTGTGTCAACATCTCCAGCGCCAGAGCCGTGGTGTTCGGCAGTGAGCTGACAGATGGTGAGAAGTGCTTTGAATGTTATCAGTGATGAGGAAACTATTTTCAAACTGTCGCTTCCCAAGCTGCATTCATAAAGTAGTTATCTAAGCTACAAACTACTAACAAAAGCTTAGCGAACTACATTGAGGCTGAAAATATATCTTTAAATGTTTAACTTTCAGATGCAATATTTGTCAGTGGCATAAACAAACAAATTCACTAAAACAAATCAAACTTGGTCTACATCACTATTGTTGGGAAAATTAAGTTATTTCTCGAACATATTTCCTGAAAGATGAATGTGTAAAACGTCTGCACTGGAAATTAATTTGAATCTTTTTTTACCATTCAAGCAAATTGATTCACTGAAATGAATCCATCTTCTCAGTGCTACCTCAAGTAGCATTTTGTCATTCTGCATCACTACCTCTTGGGAAAATTAAGTAATTTCTCAAAAATAATTCCATAAATTATTTCCTGAAAAATGAAGATGTAAAATGTCTGCACTGGGAATGAATTTGACCCCTTTTTTGAACCATTCAAACAAACCAATTCACTAAAATGAATCAAAATACTCAACATTTAAAAAATGAAAAGTAGAAATAAAAGTAGCATTCTGCATTGCCATTTGTTAGGAAAATTAAGGAATATCTGGAACATATTTCCACAAAATATTTTCTCAAAAATTAAGTTTTTCTGCGCTTGGAATTAACGCTTTTTTTTTTTAACCATCCAAACAAACTGCTTTACTAAAATTAATCAGGCTACCCAACTCTACAGCATTACTCTTTGGGATCGGTAGATTGTTTCTGGAAAAGCAACACTTAAAAAAAAAACAAAAAAAAGAAACAGTTGCACTACTCTCACACTACTAAAACTAGTTAAGTTAGTAATATTGTTAGTTTTAGTTAATGGCCAAAAGTGGTCATTACAATATGGAGCATTATCATTTAAATAAAATCCAGTTTAATTATATTGGTAATCATTTCTGGTGATTACTGGGTTGTGATTTTTATGTACCAGAAGGGAGTCGGGTCATTTCTGGATTGGTGAAATCGGTTGTTTCACAGGCTAATCAAGTTACAATTTGTGTACGGATTCATCTTGCACCATAATACCAGAAATGTGTCATAAAATGGGTAAATAGAGTTTTGATTTCATATTGATTTTAGACAAGGATTTATTTTTGATGAACTCAGTATTGTCTCGGTTAAGGCAGCAGTTCAGAAGTGTACAAAAAGCAAATCAGGAAGTGGCACTTGGACAAAGACGAGAGTGTGTACTCTAGAGAAACAAATGAATGAGTAGCGCAGAGTTCAGATTTATTATGGCCAGAGGTCACTGTGAGTAACATCACTGCACCAAAGAGGATTCGCACCAGAGGTCATGAACAACAGCGAAATCTTAATGAAATCGAGTTTGCTAGTTGTCTCTTAAGTAAATTGAAAACTCACTCATAAAGCATGCCATGTTGAGGCAGCTTTGTTTCTTATTGATTTCACATTTCCGGCCGTTTGTTTGTCCTGTGCTTCCTATGAGGAGTTTTCTAGCCTCGTTTTGTCGCATTATTTGTGTCTGTGATGGTTTCTCTCGCTCGAAGGATTTATTTTTGATGAACTCAGTATTGTCTCGGTTAAGGCAGCAGTTCAGAAGTGTACAAAAAGCAAATCAGGAAGTGGCACTTGGACAAAGACGCGAGTGTGTACTCTAGAGAAACAAATGAATGAGTAGCGCAGAGTTCAGATTTATTATGGCCAGAGGTCACTGTGAGTAACATCACTGCACCAAAGAGGATTCGCACCAGAGGTCATGAACAACAGCGAAATCTTAATGAAATCGAGTTTGCTAGTTGTCTCTTAAGTAAATTGAAAACTCACTCATAAAGCATGCCATGTTGAGGCAGCTTTGTTTCTTATTGATTTCACATTTCCGGCCGTTTGTTTGTCCTGTGCTTCCTATGAGGAGTTTTCTAGCCTCGTTTTGTCGCATTATTTGTGTCTGTGATGGTTTCTCTCGCTCTTTACATGTCTCAGCGATGTGTGAGGTGCACAGCTCCATGGGAAAGACCGTTAAGCTCCTCTGCTCTGGAGAATGGGACCCCAAACGGGTTCCTGAAGGCACGGAGCATCTCGAGCCGCTGCTGGAGGTGACCTCTACAAACCAGCCCAGACAACCAGATCGCAGCTTCACAGGCAAGACAATCAGACATAGTTATAATCATTCAAGACCTAAAAACAAACAAAAAATGCATGTTAAAACATGTCTACACGACAGCGCTACCCTGTCACCTTGAAATATTGTATTGCAATTATCTGTTTTTTTCAAAGCTTTTTCTCTGTATGCTGAATGTCTTATTAGTATTACTATTATGATGCCAGTTTTTTATATATATATTATATATATATATATATATTCAAATTTTTAAAATATAAAAATGTATATTTTTTAAATTTGGCATTAAACTCGGCCTGAATATTTCCTTTCAGGGTTATTATAGTTAACTAAAACCATTTAAAAAAATAGTTTCTGGATATAAAATAAAATGCAACTAAAATAAATAAATAAATAACCTTTTTTTCCAGCTAGTTACCAAGGCAACATTTCTGTTTTTCATTTACTTTAACTTGATATACTAAAATAGCTCAAACTAAAATTTTAATAAAAAATGTAAAAAAAAAAAAATTTCTAGAGACATATGTAAAAACTAATAAAAATGTCAAAACGGTTACTAAATCTTTAATTCAAATTCAAATGAAAACAAAGTATAAAAATAAAAAAAATAATTAAATGATTAATAAAAACTAACTATTAACTAATGTAACTCCGTTATACTAAAATAATACTTTTTTGTTGCATTTAACAATGTTAAAAATCACATTACCCGTTAGATTTGTAATAGTTTTTTCTTCTATTCTTCTAGATCGCCTTTTTTACATTTACACATCGGGAACCACTGGGATGCCAAAAGCTGCTATTGTTGTACACAGTCGGTAAGTGTGTGACAATGTTAACATCTCCATTTCTCACATTCGGTCCTTCCCTGCTTTCTCCCTCTTTTTTGTTTTTTTCTCTCAATGAATCAAGCTCCTGGTTTTTCACCTCGTCTTTCCTGTGGTCTTCCCTCAGGTATTACCGCATGGCCGCCTTGGTGTACTATGGTTTCAGAATGAAGCCTGAGGATGTGCTTTATGACTGTTTACCACTTTACCACTCAGCAGGTACATCACTGAACACAGGCTGCTCTACACCTTCATCACATGTGCATTTCCTGTCACAGAGTTTGGTTCAGGCTACTTCCTGTGTGACAGTTTTGTGGTTTGTTTTCATGGGTGTCTACATAAGGTCTTTTGACTTGTGTCTAATTGCTTAGTTTGATATTTTATTGTTTAAGCTGACTGATGTTAGCGTGTGTGAGTCTTTAATCTGAAAGTAATTGGCAGGTTTGTTCTGAGGTCAGTGCTGTTGTCTCTGGCAGGTAACATAGTGGGAGTTGGACAGTGTCTGATCCATGGAATGACTGCAGTGATCAGGAAGAAGTTCAGCGCATCAAAGTTCTGGGATGACTGTATCAAATACAACTGCACAGTGAGTAATGGATTACATTTTATTTTGGAATATACAAGATTTAATTTTGCCTATATAGTTTTATAGTTGGTACTGGGTGAACATACTGCTTTTATTTTTAAAGAAATGAACAGTTTTATTCAGAAAGGACACATTAAATTGGTCAAAAGTGACAGTAAAGACATTTATAATGTTACAAAAGATGCTAGTGTTCTTGACAATCTTGACAATATGCATCACAATTGCAAAAATGCAAGCACAACTGTTTTCAACATTAATAATTATAATGTTTCTCAAACAGCAAATCAGCATATTAGAATGATTTCTGAAGGATCATGTGACACTGAAGACTGGAGTAATGATGCTGAAAATTCAGCTTTGATCACAGGAATAAATTACGTATTAAAGTATTCAAAGAGAAAATTAAAATTGTAATATTATTATATCACAACATAACATTATATTAATGTTTTCCATGGAAATGGAGCTTTAAGAGAATTTTGAAAAATCATTTTTGACTTTGTCTCAGATCGTGCAGTACATTGGTGAGATCTGCCGCTATCTGCTGAATCAGCCGAAGAAGGACACGGAGCACCAACACCAGGTGCGCATGGCCCTCGGTAACGGCCTTCGCCAGTCCATCTGGGAGGAATTCACCACCCGCTTCAACGTCCCACAGATCGCAGAGTTCTACGGCGCCACCGAGTGCAACTGTAGCCTGGGCAACTTCGATAACCAGGTCTGCCCAAATAAAAGCACACTTTAGATGGAGTGTCTGTGAACAGCCTTTCTGAGTAACACAGTTGTAAACCTCTACACTTGTGGATAATGCAGGTGGAAAAGGATGCATACTTTAGGAGTTGCAGCAGTTTGCTTTGTGTATTACCATAATTTTTATGAGGCCATCTACAGGATGTTCAGAAATCAAGCACAGGTGGTTATGGGCTATTTAAGGTGCTGATCAAAATGCTGTGACCTGTTTAATTTTGCTCCGTGGTGTTTCGTTTTGAAGAGTGTAAGGTGATTGTAACATGTTGTTTTGACTGCAGACGGGCGCCTGTGGATTCAACAGCCGGATCCTGCCCTTCTTTTACCCCATCCGCTTAGTCAAAGTGGACGAGGAGACCATGGAGCTCATCAGAGGACCTGATGGAGTCTGTATCCCATGTGGTCCAGGTACAGTACTCCCTCACACTCATTAAGTACAAAGGCTTGAATTAAAGGGATAGTTCACCCAAAAATGAAAATGTGATGTTTATCTGCTTACCCCCAGGGCATCCAAGATGTAGGTGACTTTGTTTCTTCAGTAGAACACAAACGAAGATTTTTAACTCCAGCTGTTGCAGCCTATCAGTCTTATAATGCATGGCAATGGTAACAAAATCTATGAGCGTAAAAGAACATGCACAGACAAATCCAAATTAAACCCTGTGGCTTGTGACGACACATTGATGTCCTAAGACATGAAACGATCGGTTTGTGCCAGAAGCCGAACAGTATTTATATCATATTTTACCTCTAATACACCACTGTGTCCAACTGTCTTTGGCCGCGCGCACGGCATCCAGTGCGTGAGGGGGGTACGCGCTCTGGCATAGTTTACGTTAAAGGGTGTGTTGATATCCAGCCGAAGAGCAATCAACCATAACTTCAGGCGAGCAGGCTCAGAAGTTGGGAATACGTGGAAAGTCACCACTCCCGAATGAGTTTGTGCGAGAAAAAGTAATCTTTTAGTTTTAAGTCGGTTTGAACAATCCGGATAAGTGCAAGTAAGTACCATTTTGGTTAGCTGTCGTACCTACAATGACTGTGCACTGTGTAAACAATGAGTGACGTATACGCGCGAGAGATCACTTCCGCCGCTTGTGTAAACTACGCCAGAGCGCGTACACTACGCCAGAGCGCGTACACACCTCACGCACCGGATGCCGTGTGCACGCCCAAAGCAGTTGGACAAAGTTGTGTATTAGAGGTAAAATATGATATAAATACTGTTCGGTTTCTGGCACAAACCGATCGTTTCGTGTCTTAGGACATCAATGTGTCGTCACGAGCCGCAGGGTTTAATTTGGATTTGTCTGTGCATGTTTTTTTACTCTCATAGATTTTGTTACCATTGCCATGCATTATACGACTGACAGACTGCAACGGCTGGAGTTAAAAATCTCCGTTTGTGTTCTACTGAAGAAACAAAGTCACCTACATCTTGGATGCCCTGGGGGTAAGCAGATAAACATCAAATTTTCATTTTTGGGTGAACTATCCCTTTAATGAATAACTCAAATTAATGGACAAATGAATAATTAGTAATGAATTACACAACTACTCTGTCTATTCAGCCTTAACCGGATACATACAGTACACTCTCATATTGACAAACTTCGCTACCTGATTATAAGTGATATATTAAACGTTGGATATATAAAACATCCTACATAACCTGCACACATAGAGTATACTCACATAAAGCAATACATACTAATCTTAATTGACTGATTTGTAACCAAATTATCGCCCAACTCTTCATATACCAGTATGTACAACTTTATCCACATGCTTACAGTATGTTTGTATAGTACAGTATAATACATAGGGTGATATATACTATATATAGCAAATCTCAACTGCTTAATTGCTTATATCATCTTAAAATGTAGTTATAATACCGCTCAGCTCTTAGATGCTAAATGCGACTATAAGGCATGAAGATCTTAAGATATTATAAACATTTAACATCAAGATTTTCTGTGAAGGTGCTTTGAAACAATGTGTATTATGAAAAACGCTATATAAATAAATTTGAAGAAAAATGACAGGTGAGAAGCTGATATCTTAGAAAGTAGGCATGCAGATAAAAAGCCAATATATATGATATTTTAAAATAAATGATAAATAACACTTGTGCAATGGCATTTTTAATGATTAAATTTTAAATTAAATGAAAAAATAATGAAATAAAAAAGAAACCTGTAAAATAAACGTTTATACTTTAGATAGCAATGACTTAATCCTATTATAGTATCCGTCACAAAAAAAAAAAGAAAAAATCGTAAAAAAACAAAAGAGAGTAAACATTTTTAACCAACTGTGCACTTAGTAATCTGGTCTGTAAAACTGTACGTTACTGGGAATCATATTTTCTCAAATAATGCAATTTTTCTATACAGTACGTATAATATATTAAAAAGAACTGTTAAATAAAAACAGTAAACTAATGAAGATTAGGCATTCGGGCACTGACTTTCACGGCACTGTCAAAATAAAAGCCGCTAAACAGGAAAAAAACAAAAAAAAACCTGATTTTAAAATAAATCAGTTTTGGCCAAGAAGAGAAATTTATCAGCCATCACCAATAATTAAAAATTAAACATGGGGCTTAATGATATATATATATATATATATATGTCAGCCACTACTACAGAAAGTGTGAAAATCTTATATAAAATCTATCTCCTTATTTGGTTTCTCAGGAGAACCTGGTCAGTTGGTTGGTCGAATCATTCAGAATGACCCTCTCAGGAGATTTGACGGCTACGTCAATCAGTCGGCCTCTAATAAAAAGGTTGCCCACGATGTCTTCAAAAAGGGAGATAGTGCCTATCTCTCAGGTATCGTATTTTGAAACGCTCTACACAACCGCACTCTTACTTCCCTGCACTCAGCTGGATAATAGCAGTTGTTGGCTTCTCCTCTCTCAGGGGACGTGCTGGTGGCACTGTCAAAATAAAAGCCGCTAAACAGGAAAAAAACAAAAAAAAACCTGATTTAAAAAAAAATCAGTTTTGGCCAAGAAGAGAAATTTATCAGCCATCACCAAAAATTAAAAATTAAACATGGGGCTTAATGATATATATATATATATGTATATGTCAGCCACTACTACAGAAAGTGTGAAAATCTTATATAAAATCTATCTCCTTATTTGGTTTCTCAGGAGAACCTGGTCAGTTGGTTGGTCGAATCATTCAGAATGACCCTCTCAGGAGATTTGACGGCTACGTCAATCAGTCGGCCTCTAATAAAAAGGTTGCCCACGATGTCTTCAAAAAGGGAGATAGTGCCTATCTCTCAGGTATCGTATTTTGAAACGCTCTACACAACCGCACTCTTACTTCCCTGCACTCAGCTGGATAATAGCAGTTGTTGGCTTCTCCTCTCTCAGGGGACGTGCTGGTGATGGACGACTACGGCTACATGTACTTCAAAGACCGCACAGGAGACACATTCCGCTGGAAAGGAGAGAACGTCTCCACCACTGAGGTGGAGGGAACGCTGAGCCGCCTGCTGGACATGAAAGATGTGGTGGTGTATGGAGTGGAGGTGCCAGGTAATCACACTCTTTTTCTGTTTGTCTTTCTCTATATTTGTTTTCCCACCAATCACATTTCATCAGGGACTATATTTTCAAGTGGAAGGAAAATAAACCTCAGCAGGGTTTTTTTTGCTGATGAGGTTCATTTTGCAATTATGTTGCCTAATACATGGCTAATTGACTAAAAAAATGATCTAAGATCCAAGCTGAAATTATTCTGGGACAGTAAAGAGTGTGCAGAGTCTTTATGTGCTGAACTGTTCCTTTAAGTGTTCTGAGTTTTTAAGTATCATGAATCAGCGAGTGCTCAGCCAGTGTTTGGAGAAGAGAATAATCATTTAAATGAAGCTGACTGCAGCAGCTCTTGAAGGATTCTGGGAATGCACAGCCAAACAAAGTATTCTCTTGGCCTAGCTCCGGTTTTGCTTACACTAGATCTATAAAGGAATCGCAGCAGAGTGCTGAATCTAGCTCTGTACATTTGAGACTGCCGGCTAAAAAATAGTCTCTCACCTTCAATACAATGTCATCAGCAGATCTGGAGTTTTGGGTCTGTAACATATACAGTGGTGTGAAAAGTCCTGTTTTTTTTATTTTTTGCATATTTGTCACACTTAAAAGATTCAGATCATCAAACAAATTTTAATATTACACAAAGATAATGCAAGTAAATACAAAATGCAGTTTTTAAATGATGATTTCATTTATTACAGATTTCAAATTCTGTCCGTTTTATTACAATATATACCGTTTATTACAATAAATACTGTGTTGGCACTGTTCGATGTGGAGTGATAAATTGCTGTAGTGCCTCAGTTCAAGAGAAGCGGCAGCGCGAAGCACACGTGAACCGATCGTCTCCTCTGCTTTAATAGCGGTTACAGCACGAACAAACATGAATTACCATCAGAAGATATGTTACAAGAAAGCGTACAACTTATCAAAATCGCTCAATCAGTGTTTCAACCGCGGAAAGCCGTCATATAACAACATCCATGTAACTCTCTTAATTATAATAAAGCCCTTTACTTAGGAGTAGCAGTGCAGTAATGTAACGCACTACTGCGTCTCTCCCCGTCTGCAGTAGTCCATAGATCTCTGTCCTTGGACCTGTGACATATGACCTGGCCAGACAATGATCTCCTTAATCAGTTTATTTGAATTCATGGTGACTCAGTGTCTCTTTATGCTTCTAGGCTTGGCTTCCTCTGAGGTAGATTACAGGACCTGGGGTCGCCCTTCTGTGATGCATAATGTATGGATGTTTTTCCCTCAGGTGCTGAAGGCAAGGCAGGGATGGCAGCCATAGCAGACCCGGACCACAGTACAGACCTGGCGAAGTTTAGCCGGGACCTGGAGAAGGCCCTGCCGCCCTATGCCCGGCCCGTGTTTCTGCGCTTCCTACCAGAAGTGAACAAAACAGGTGAGATATTGCACGCATAACTCAGACTTCACTCAGGTTCGCAGTCTGATAACTGGCCCCATCTGATAAATAGTGTTGAATAAGACTGGCAAAGTCACAGTAAGAGTCCCATCCTATTTTAGAACGGAACCCAAAATGTACATATTCAGAGTTCGTCTAGGTTTAATCAAGTTATTTATTCCGTTAAATGATGCAACATTTCATTGCTGCCATATCTAAAGTGTTGTTCCCATAAAGGGATTTAAAGAGCTGTTTCTCAGCCATTTTCAAGAGACCTCTAAATATGAGGCTTCCCACAGGTCCTTAAAGTTTTAACATGTCTCAAATTCAGTTTGTCATAAGTCTCAAATATCGTAAATAGTATAGCAACATTTCTAAATATTTTAGGAGATCTGAAAAAATTGACTCATGATATGGCCTAATGTGGTTATTACACTTCAAAAGTCTGATTAAATTAAATAAATGTGAGCCCTGCAAGTTTCACAGTAAAAACTTTGTCAAAGTAAAAACAGGAGCTTTTTATGGGTCCTTTTAACTTGACATGAGACAATGCAAGTTATATTGCACCATCTGCCTTTCTCTGACATGTTCCGGGTTGAATTAAATTTGACAATTGTGGAAGATATGCCCTCCAAGGCTCTAAAAAAAATCTGAAGTTTGAAATAAAATCACTGAGTGAATTATTTTTATATAGACCCTTGAACTTGATATGTGGATCAATACAGAAATGTGCAGTACACCAGTGCATAGCATAAATATAAGTTCGCTGTTTTTCTCACTTGTGTGTTTTTTTCTTTCTTTCTTTCTTTCAGGGACTTTCAAATTCCAGAAGACAGACATGCGACGGGAGGGATTCGACCCCAACGTCATCTCTGACAAACTCCACTTCCTGGACTGCACCAAGGGACAGTATGTGGAGATGAATGTAGAGCTCCATCGCAGCATCGTCTCAGGAAAGCAGAAATTATGAGACTACTGCCAACCTCCACCTGTTCCCTCACCGCCCCGCCTTCAGCAGCCCTCAAACCTCGCCCCCTCATCACTCCGCCCCTCGTTACCTCAGCAAACACAGTGAGGGGCCGCAGGAACGCATTCTGCCCGTATATTCAAGCCCCCGCTGATTCATTCTCACAACCGAGATGGGACTGAGGTGGCGTTTAGCCAGCCGTCTTAAAAAAGCGAAAAATGCAAAAGAAAATGAAGCAATTTAGCAAATAATACAAAAAACATACAGCAAGGAAAGGCACAAGGACCAAACACACGGCTGTCAAGTGGTAAAGCTTTCCCTTTGCCTCAGCTGCACAATGCTCGCCTGGCTACAAGATTCGAGACTGACACGATCCTTTTGACGGATTTGACAAGTGACTGCCGCCCTGACCAAAACCAATGTGGATCGACATGCAATACAAACCCAGCACTGGCTGTGCGCTTGCCAGCTGCAATGACTTGATCGATGCTGTTCATTTAAATGTGTAACATGCACCAAATATATTTAAGTTATAGAATAGCTCGTCATCTATTTACAAGTCATGAATCTACATGCCGCGTTGAAGACGTCCATTATTGCACTGCTACTGTGTGCGTTTTACCTCTCCAGACTTTAGTATGCAGCGTCAGCATGGAAGCAGATTTAACGATCAGCCCAGTGTGACATTGTGTAGACTGGGCTTCATGGGTTTGCTTCGTTTTGCTAGACGTGAAGACTACGTGTAGACGTTAAGTTCCCTCTCTACAGGACACTATAGTGGACTTTGCATGGAGGCGAATGAAAGTAGTGTAATACTCTGGTGCTAAAAAGCAAACATCCTATCTATCTGCAAAGTGGCTCCAGACCTAAAAACCGTCTTTTCTCCTTGACGGGAAGAGAACGGAAGTGGAGGAGAAGAAAGGGGAAAGCGATATAGGCTATTTGTCATCAGAGATCTAGTTTTTCTTTGAGCAGCATGAATGATTGACGCAACAGAGCACTGTGCCTTACTGTCAGGTCACCAGATAGTGTTATTGCCCTCATAATTACACTAACTGACTCTAGACGTCTCTTCCATGTCCCTTAAACAGCTAGCTTATTTTCTAGACCTTGCTTGTACTCCCATGAAAATTCCCATCATGCAAAGTGTGTCCAGCACTACATTTATGGGCATCCTGTCCATTCCATGTGTATTTTGCTCGATCTCTTTTTGCGAACCTTCCTGTTCGCCCTCGTCCACTGACAGCTGATTATTTATTTATATATCGTAGCAAGTATTTAAGTGTGTGTGCACGTGTGACAGCACTTGATTTTCTCCAAGTCACTGTTTTGGCCACTATATATTAACGTACAGCACAGATGTGGGAAAACCCACATCTTCACATGGTTTGACCTTATTTGGGTAAATCTCTCCAGGAACGTGTCTGGGTCATGCATCACCACCAACATTCAAAATAAATAAATATATATATATATATAGAATAGAAAATAGTGAAGCTTATTTTACAATTTTCTGCCATTTATTTTCTCATTACCGTAATGACAAAAATCTAATTCATGTTACCATACTGACAATAAAATCACATTCTCTTTACCGTAACAACCAAAAAAATCTCATTCTCTTTACTGTAATGACAAAAAAAAATCTAATTTACATGATCATAATCAGAAAAATCTAATTCTCCGTACCATAATAAAAAAAATGTCATTGCGGTCATGATAATAAAATTCTCATCCTCATAGCTGTAATGACAATAACGTCTAATTTTCATTACCGTCGTGACAATAAATCTTATTTTCATTACCGTAATGAAAAAAAAAAATCAAGATCTCATTACCATAATGATTAAAAAAAAATCTTGTTCTCATTACCATAACAAAAAAAAAGCCTCATTCTCATTACCATAATGACAAAAAATCAAGACTTTTTTCAGTAAAATTAGCATAAATTAAATTCAGTACAACAGTAAAAAGGAATTAATTTATCCATTCAAAATGTATACATTTTTATTTTTTTGCATGTGGGATGAAGTGAGATTTATTCAAATAGCTGTACATGTGATTTAGACTTCAACTGATACTTAAAGCCAAGGGTGCAGTAGTGATGTCATTGGTTAGTCAGCCAATCAGATGCAGTTGTCTCTCCATCAATACCTTTTCTGGTTTTTATTTTGTTGTTTGCCCTTTCCTTTATCGCTTGCATTTTTTTATATATATATATAATTTTGTAAAAGAATGATGTGTAATGATTTGTTGTTGGTTGAGCTTTATTTCTCCATTAATCTTAGTTGCTTTTTTTGTTTTTGTTCTGGGTGTGTGAAAGAGAAGGGAAAGCACATCTTATGCACTGAGTTAAATGTTAGACGTCTGAAATCTGCTCTACAGACATTTCTTTCTCTCATGATAGTGTGTATCAGCGTTTGTGTCCTATGACAGCAAGAATCCTCACTAGGAAGCTTTTGCTGAGGCCTCTCTTGAAACCCAAAATGAAAACTGTCATCATTTACTCACCCTCATGTCTTTCAAAACCTGTATGCTGGTATTTTTAGTGGGACACAACAACTGTCAGACTCCAAAAAATCCTTATTCCAAGTCCTCTGATGCTTTTATGTGAGAAAAGGAGCAGCATGTATTGTTTGTGTTCCTGCTAATCTTCCTCCGCTGCAGCTTTCAAATGCGGCAGCGGCACATTGACAGCAGACCTGGTGCAATAAAATGCCATTTTCCTAAGAGTTTCGAAGGCAAAGAAGATTAATTTCAACTGAAAAAAAGTTTTTTTGTCCTTTTTAGAATTTGCATGAAGATTCTATGTGTTCCAATAAGAAATAAAATCGCAGATTTGGAATGACATTAAAGTGATTAATGATGACAGTTTTCATTTTTCACACAAACGACCTTCAATTGCAGTAATGTTTTGATAGAGCTTTCTGCATTTTTAATGTCTTTCTTCATATACTGTAAAGGCATTAGAAATGTGAAATCCAAAACCAGTGCTGTGAATAATTTTGTATTTATTTTTAAATGCTTCGAGAATTTCCACTGTACCATAAAGACAGTCCGTTTTCTGTTTTCAGTCCAAACTTCAGTGTTTCGAAGGAACGGTTTGCGTGTGCAAGTGTATGTGGTCTTTCTGTTGTTGTTTGTGCCCCCTCTCTGGAGCTGATGTGACTCTCCTCTTAGCAGCCTGCAGTTAGTGAAATGTTGTTCTCATGTCTGTCCACTAGATTGTGCTCATTCAGGACATAAATACATTCCCTCATGCTCCGAATGGCTGATTTGCCATCCAAAATTGTGTCCATGTTTTATTTTATGAGGGATATCTACTATATTTTATATTTAACTAATTATTTACTGTGCATTTTTTATTATTTGCACTGTCAATAGCTTTAAAGCTACAAAGGACCATTTTCAAGTAACATAAGTTATATTATTTTTTTTTATCTTGTTTTATTGAGCACCAAAGTTAGTCAGGGAGGAAAACTGACCTTTTTTCACTCTGTTTTGTTTATAAATTGTACCGATCTGTCACCCTTCTCAAAAGACTGATCATAAATGCACTTGTCTTTTGTCTATTTCTGTTCAGTACTCAGGAACAACATGCAGAGGCAGATGAGAGAAGTGTGTGTGTGTGTGTTGATGTAGAGGTGTGCTGCGTCACACTGAAGTCCTCTTGTCTTAAAGACTAGCTGTAAATCATGCTCTTTCAAAACAATGGCATCCAAGAATCAATATTAATAAAAAAATATATTAATTCTCTGCGGTCTTTCCTGTTTGTTTACTTTATTGCGTCTAAAATTTAGCTGCAAACCAGCAGAGTTAGATTCATAAAGAAACATTTCTATGACTTTGTGGGATGGGAATTGTAATATTTGTCCATTTCAAACATGGTACCTTCAATGAATGGTCTCTGTTGGATGTGTGTTCTTGCGTGTGATTGGCTGTTTTGGTGAGGGGGAGGAGCTAATGTGGCTGGCAGACCCTGAATAGTCCACAATCCCTGGCTGTGTTCCTACAACGCCACCATGAAGATCGCCTTGGTGTGAGCATCTTTCTGCTGATGCTCCTGACTGACATCCACGCCAGCGTCCAAGCGCAGAAAAACTGACCTTCAGAGAGTAAGAACTTTAGCCGTGTACTTTTCAACACTGAAGCTTTTTTAAAATGACCTCTAGGTTCTTTATCTGTAGGAGTGTAGCATGTTCAGTTATGGACTTGAAGCAACAAATTCAGTTTTCCACTCCTTTGCTGAGTTCAGGCTGGTGTGTGAGATTTAAACTGATGAATAATGTTGATGTGATGTTTGTTTAGGGAAGTTTGAGTTTTTCATGTCATGAATACTGACATGAACAAGCTGTTTCTCCATGTTGATTAGGGTAATGCTCTACAGAGTCGTTTGAGGGGACGCTCTCAGACGGCGATTGCATTAACAGTAGAGACCGAGCAAACAAACCGAGCTCAAGGCAAAGGTCACGCGCTCAGTCTTGCAACAAGGAACGGGTGATTTCTGCTCATTATGAAAAAAGACACTTTTTTTCTAAAAGGGAAGACAAAACGACAGACAAATGACCTACGGTTCTATTTTTGTTTGGCCATTAGTATCAGGCTTATTATTTTTGGCTGGGTTCTCTGTTGTTTTTCCAAAACATCCTTGTCTAATTATGCTTTTCATCTTGAGATGTGATGTCTGTCAGTGTGAGCTGGATTGTGTTTGTTGAGTTTGCAGGGAGGTGGTATCGGGTCGGTATCGGCCTATGATTCTCCAGGTTTTGTGCAGTACAGAAGCAAACTCACCATCTCTATGGGTACAGTGGAGCTGAAGGAAAACGGGAACATCTACATGACCCTGTGGAGTTTAACGTGAGGGACACCCATTTTCACATATGTGACCCTGGACCACAAAACCAGTCATAAGGGTCAATTTGAGATGTATACATAATCTGAAAGCTGAATAAATAAGATTTCCATTGATGTATGGTTTGTTAGGATAGGACAATATTTGGCCGAGAGACAGCTATTTGAAAATCTGGAATCTGAGGGTGCAAAAAAATCTAAAAAAAAAAAAAAAAGCAATGCATGTTACTAATCAAAAATTAAGTTTTGATATATTTACGGTAAGAAATTTACAAAATATCTTTCTTCTGTGTTTCTTCAAAAGACGATATTTTGAAGAATGTGGGTAACCAAACAGTTTCTGGTAGCCATTGACTTCCATAGAATGTAAAGAAATAGTATAGAAGTCATTGGCTACCATCAACTACTTGGTTACCCACATTCTTCACATTATCTTCTTTTGTGTTGAAAAAGAAACTCATACAGGTTTGAAAACGACATGGGGGTGAGTAAATGATGACAAAATTTTCATTTTTAGTTGAACTATCCCTTTAACCCACACTTAAGATTGAATGGAGGATGATTTAATGATAAAGCAATACTGTTCAAAACGACAACAAAAAATATTTGGATAATTTTGTAGTTGTCAAACATGGCTCATGTTCATAGATAAAGTGATTGTCTACACCTGTGTTTACTCTGATTGGAAATTTGAGGAGAACATTTTTTTTATATTTGGTTTGATATCTAACACAGTGTGTCCGAAATTGCACACTGTCTGAGAACGTACTACATTTGAATTTGAACTTATTTCGCAACTGTTAAAAAGTATGTTCTATATAGTATTAATATGGGTAGTATGAATGAAATTCGGACGATGGCATGTTGTCATATGTCTTGTTGTCATTATCATGTGAACTGCCAGCGTCAGTTGAGCTGCTTCACTTCCTCTCCCGTGGCCTCATGGGATAGTAGTGTTCATCGACTGCACACTTCAGAATCCAGGCAAAAATAGTAGGTCATTCAGATATTTTTCGGGTGCTGTTTTCGAATACTATGAATTCAGACATACTACTTCTTTGGAATACTGTTTTTGGCATGCTAAATAGTCGGGAAGTATTCAATTTGGATGCAGTGAGTGAAATTCAGTCATATTTTTAAGTGTGGCCGAAGTACTTTTTTTTTCAGGACTATACATGGTTGGACACTCAAATAATTGCTCAAGAACAGGCAATTATCAATGTGTGACTGAACCTTTGTTCACAAACCATTTAAGTGTTTATTTATTGTCTAAAATAGTTATATTTTCATAAAAATTCTAACAAAATTTCTAATTTTTGTTTAGTCTTTTTTTAGAAAACTGTCCTTGTTTAGGAAGTTAGGTAAATGAGAGCTTCAAATCTAGTTCGTCAATCCTTGTTTTCTCACCAGTAACCTCATGACACTGCTGGAAGTTATTCATTCAGTTTGGCAACTTTGTATATTTTGTTTTATAACATTGTTTTTTACTTGTTTTGCCCTCTTTCAGTTCCCAATCACATTTAGAGCTGAAGGAAAATTATTTTTGTGGCAGTTTGGTAATATTGTAACTGATGTCATTGTCATTTGATGTGCTTAGTTGTTATATTTAACTATAAAGCTGACAAAACTGAATCAAAACACTGAAGAAGAGTGGAAATACAGAAAGAGGTATTATCATGTTTCTGATTATCTTTGCTGGCAAAAATACAACTTTTTTTTTGTTTTTGTTCATGTGTGTATGTGACTCACATTTGGAGTTAAGCATTAGAAATGAAAGTTAATGTGTAAATATGTGTAGAGTACATTTCTTCTCTTGCGTTGAAGCTTTTCTTACAGACTCTGTGCTAACAGGAAAAATGCTAACTGCTTACTGTTTGTGACTGAAAAATCATTCTCACTGGATGCCATTTTTGTGACAGATGTTATTTGGTAATTGTAAATAAAAATCTAATTCTAAAGGATATGGGGAGGTGTCCAAGTCACAACATCTAGCTACTGGAGTGCCTCAAGGCTCAGTTCTTGGACTTCTTCTCTTCTCTGTCTAAGTGTTCATCGACTGCACACTTCAGAATCCAGGCAAAAATAGTAGGTCATTCAGATATTTTTCGACTGCTGTTTTCGAATACTATGAATTCAGACATACTACTTCTTTGGAATACTGTTTTTGGCATGCTATATAGTCGGGAAGTTTTCAATTTGGATGCAGTGAGTGAAATTCAGTCATATTTTTAAGTGTGGCCGAAGTACTTTTTTTTTCAGGACTATACATGGTTGGACACTCAAATAATTGCTCAAGAACAGGCAGTTATCAATGTGTGACTGAACCTTTGTTCACAAACCATTTAAGTGTTTATTTATTGTCTAAAATAGTTATATTTTCATAAAAATTCTAACAAAATTTCTAATTTTTGTTTAGTCTTTTTTAGAAAACTGTCCTTGTTTAGGAAGTTAGGTAAATGAGAGCTTCAAATCTAGTTCGTCAATCCTTGTTTTCTCACCAGTAACCTCATGACACTGCTGGAAGTTATTCATTCAGTTTGGCAACTTTGTATATTTTGTTTTATAATATTGTTTTTTACTTGTTTTGCCCTCTTTCAGTTCCCAATCACATTTAGAGCTGAAGGAAAATTATTTTTGTGGCAGTTTGGTAATATTGTAACTGATGTACTTAGTTGTTATATTTAACTATAAAGCTGACAAAACTGAATCAAAACACTGAAGAAGAGTGGAAATACAGAAAGAGGTATTATCATGTTTCTGATTATCTTTGCTGGCAAAAATACAACTTTTTTTTTTTTTTTTGTTCATGTGTGTATGTGACTCACATTTGGAGTTAAGCATTAGAAATGAAAGTTAATGTGTAAATATGTGTAGAGTACATTTCTTCTCTTGCGTTGAAGCTTTTCTTACAGACTCTGTGCTAACAGGAAAAATGCTAACTGCTTACTGTTTGTGACTGAAAAATCATTCTCACTGGATGCCATTTTTGTGACAGATGTTATTTGGTAATTGTAAATAAAAATCTAATTCTAAAGGATATGGGGAGGTGTCCAAGTCACAACATCTAGCTACTGGAGTGCCTCAAGGCTCAGTTCTTGGACTTCTTCTCTTCTCTGTCTACATGGCTTCACTAGTATCTGTCATTCAGAAACATGGCTTTTCATATCACTGCTATGCTGATGACACTCAACTCTACCTCTCATTCCATCCTGATTTTCCGACAATAGCTGCTCACATCTCAGCATGTCTAACAAACATTTCTTGCAGAACCATCACTTTCGCAAACACAGAACTGCTTGTGGTTTCAGCCAACCCAACACTCCATCACAATTTCTCCATCCAGCTATGTGCATCAATGACAATTCCTTCAAGGACAGCCAGGAGCCTTGGAGTTGTGATTGATGCTGAATTTCACAGACCACATTGCTACAGCTGCCCGTTCCTGCCAGATTTACCTTATACAACATTAGGAAGATCAGGTCCTTTCTATCTGAAAATGCTACACAATTCCTTATTCAAGCTCTAGTTCTGTCCAGGCTGGACAATTGCAACGCCTCCTTGGCAGGTCTTCCAGCCAGTTCTATCAAACCTCTACAATTAATCCAGAATGCGGCAGTAAGATTAGTCTTTAACAAGCCGAAAAGGGCGCATGTCACACCTCTGTTCATCAACTTGCACTGAAGACATTAATGTTTGCCTACAAAACAACCTCTGGCTCTGCGCCCCTTTACCTAAATTCACTACTTCAGATGTATGTGCCCTCCAGAAGCTTGCGTTCTGCAAGTGAACGGCGCATTATAATACCATCCCAAAGAGGCACAAAATCACTTTCACAGACTTTTAACCTAAATGTTCCCTGCTGGTGGAATGACCTGCTCAACACGATCTGAGCAGCTGAGTCTTTAGTCATCTTCAAGAAATGTCTAAAGACACATCTCTTCCATCTACACTTGACCCTTCAACACTAGCATTTTCTGTTGTTTTTCTATTCTATCTACTTGTTTTCTTTTTAATTATTATAAAAAATAATAATAACTTGACCCTCTAACACTAGCTAGTTTTGCTTTGGAAACTTAAAGCATTTATTATATAAAGCAAAAAAAAAAGAAGCTATTTTTAACTCTTACATACTGAATTATGGGAATATTAAATAGATTCATGCAAATATTAAATCTTCTATTTGTTTCGGCCAAAGCAAACAAGAACATAAGGCACAAACAGGAGTCAACAGGCAGATAAGGAGAACTTTGTTCTGTTTGTTTTGTTGGACTGGTTTTGGGGGTGGTATTGCACACATGGCCAGCAGGTCGATGTCCTGTGGATGATAGAGACAGTCGTGGTTCTTCAGAACTTCATTTGGATCACAGACAGTCAGAATGAAGTGTGTTGTTGTAGTGTTTCTGCTGCCGCTCCTGGGCCTGTTGCATGCTGGGCCACTGCCCGATGAGCCCGTCCTCCAGCCCCAAGAGAACTTTGATGTGAACCGGGTAAGTTATGCTTTTTGGAAGTTTAAGTGAATGTTTGTGCATAGAGGAGACCAGGACTAGTTGTCATACTTTTTACACTTAGAATATTTCTATATAGTCAGTTTCTAAAAAGACACAAACACATGAAAATGCCTTGAATACAAAAAACTACTCAACATTTCCACTGTTAGCCCAGGACAAAAAAGGCATAGTTAATTTATCACTTATTGTTCTTTAGTGACAACATGCCCCAATGGTCACACTAAATGTGGTCTGTTGTCACAATGGCAACCTGCTTATTTACACTAATTTTAGAAAACAATAAAAAAAAAGTGTTTTATAGGCTATTTATTTACATTTTGGCAATATGTTACATTCTAATAATTATAAACTATATGGGAACAAAGGTATATAAAACAAATTTACCTACAATATATTAAATTGTTTTTAACGTGATACAAATATGTGACCCTGGACCACAAAACCAGTCATAAGGGTAAATTTTTTGAAATTGAGATTTATACATCATCTGAATAAATAAGCTTTCCATTGGTGTATGGTTTGTTGGGATAGGACAATATTTGGCCGAGATACAACTATTTGAAAATCTGGAATCTGAGGGTACAAAATAATCTTAATATTGAGAAAATCGCCTTTAAAGTTGTCCAAATGAAGTCCTTAGCAATGCATATTACTAATCAAAAATTTAAGTTTTGATATATTTAAGGTAGGAAATTTACAAAATATCTTCATGGAACATGATCTTTACTTAATATCCTAATGATTTTTGGCATAAAAAAAAAATCGATAATTTTGACCCACACAATTTTTTTTGGCTATTGCTACAAATATACCCCAGCGACTTAAAGGGGTCATATGATGTTGCTAAAAAGAACATAGTTATGTAAATCTTCCCACATAGTGACGTAGACATGTGGGGATGTGTTAGAACAAGCCGTTTTAGGTAGGCATGGTTGACTCTTAACTTTTATAAAGAATCTCTCTTTGGATTTGAGACTTCAGTCTTTGCAACTTTACAGATCTTCTTTATGCACCAAGAGCTTGTAACACTCCAGAGAGAAAGGAAAAATTTAAATTGCATCATATGACCCCTTTAAGACTGTGTTTGTAGTCCAGGGTCACATATGGAACAAATCAGTTCATAAAATAGGTGTTTAAAAGATTGTATAGGCTATTTATTTGCATATTGGTGATTTTGTTTTTATATTGTAATAAACATTTTTTGAGAAAGTAGGCTATATAAAACAAAATTACATACGATATATACAATGTTTTTAATATGAAAATATGTAGCAAAACAATTCATGAAATAGGTGAAGAAAAATCATCTCTAATTAATAGGTGTTATAGGCTATTTCTTTGTATTTTAGTGTTTTTTTATATTTTAAATGACAAAATATTTTATGAGAAAGTAGGTTATATAAAACAAGAAATTTCATAAAATATAAAAACCTTTTTAACATTAAATAAACAAAACAAATCAAGTACATTTAAAAAAAAAATCGTATAATAATAATAATAATAATAACTATTATAATTATAACCTAGTGTTATACAATATATTCAGCTGAAATATATAGCTGACCCTTTTACAAACAATAAAAACAGACCATAAATAAATAAATAGTAATGCTACTTTGTAGGTCCTCCCTAGTGAATTTGAATTGTGCACATTTCAATAACTTTTCTTTGGTCTAATATGAGTGTCAATAAGGTGATATTTGCATAAAACGACTCACTGGCTGTTGTATAACAACTACAGGTGCATCTCAATAAGTAGAATGTTGTGGAAAAGTTCATTTATTTCAGTAATTCAACTCAAATTGTGAAACTCGTGTATTAAATAAATTCAATGCACACAGACTGAAGTAGTTTAAGTCTTTGGTTCTTTTAATTGTGATGATTTTGGCTCACATTTAACAAAAACCCACCAATTCACTATCTTAAATGAACATACTTTCCAGAAGGCCAACAATTCACTAAAAATGTTTTTTTATTGGTCTTATGAAGTATTCTAATTTGTTGAGAGAGTGAATTGGTGGGTTTTTGTTAAATGTGAGCCAAAATCATCACAATTAAAAGAACCAAAGACTTAAACTACTTCAGTCTGTGTGCATTGTTTGTGTGAATTTATTTAATACACGAGTTTCACAACTTTTCCACGACATTCTAATTTATTGAGATGCACCTGTATGTATTGCAGTGCCCTGTTACACCACATTTTATTTTTATTATTACCATAAATATTATTGTAATATGGCCAGTGATGTGATCTTTCTAACATGTCCACGTCCACCTGCATTTGAAATTCTAATTGACCTTATTTCTCCTAATCTGACCTCCTCGTCTCCTCTGTAAGTTCATGGGCAAATGGTATGATATTGCGATTGCGTCCACATGCCCGTGGCTCAAGCGTCATAAGGGAGACGCAGCCATTGGCTCTTTGGAGCTGCAATCCAGTGGCTCAACACAGACCATCAGCATGACCCACATCAGCCGCAGGTACAGCACACAATTATTTCACATCCAATCAACAAAATATTGTGAAAAAAACACCCTCATACCCACAAAAACCGTTTGCAAAGGCATTGTTTGTTTATTCTGCAGACATGACAGCTGTAAGTCCATCAGTGGAGAATATCAGCTGACCAAAACACCTGGAAGATTCCATTACCACAATGCCAGTGAGTTCAGCACCACAGCTGTCAATCATACAGTATCCTCGTGCCGCTTCACTGTTATTTCACCGTTTGTGTGTCTTTGCTCATGCAGAGTGGAATGCTGATGTGGACTCCTACGTGGTTCACACAAACTACGATGAGTACGCTCTGGTGGTGATGTATAAACAAAAACCAGGCGGGGAAAAAACCACATCTGTCAAACTCTACGGTAAAACATCTGTTTTCTTCTTAGACAACATTTAGGTCTTTCGTGATCTCAGCTTTGACCTCAAATCGACCAAAGCAGCATGTATTGCATACTATTTCTGGGGATTTTTAAATGCATCTGAACTACCTCTTTTGGGCTAATATTACCCACAACCCCCTGCACTTCAACGAGGAGTTTGATTACTTTTTCAGTTGAAGAGACATGGTGAGGAATGTGAGTGCTAAACTAAACTATTTAGTGTGCTAAATATAGAATTGAGCTAAATGCTAACATGCAACGAAAACAGTATGCGACAAATGTGTGTGTGGTAAGACTATCTTCTATGATTTTGATCTCTCAATTCTACTCAAACTCCCATCAAATAACTTCGGATTGCTTTCTCAATGGTTACATTCATTGCATGCTTACATACTACTTACAGTGGGGCAAATAAGTATTTGATACACTGCCGATTTTTCAAGTTTTCCCACTTACAAAGAATGGAGAGATCTGTAATTTTCATCGTAGGTACACCTCAACTGTGAGAGACCGAATCAAAAAAAAAATCCAGAAAATAACATTGTATGATTTTTTAATAATTAATTTCCATTTTATTGCATGAAATAAGTATTTGATACAATAGAAAAATAGAACTTAATATTTGGTACAGAAACCTTTGTTTACAATTACAGAGGTCAGACGCTTCCTGTAGTTCTTGACCAGGTTTGCACACACTGCAGCAGGGATTTTGATATGAGGGTAGCTGACAAATTTTTAACTAATGTGTAAGTGTATATTTAGCGGATGTTTTTATTTTTTGTAGATTTTGTGATTGGTTGGAAACCATTTAATTTAATAATTTTTTTTTTAAATGTGCAGATATGTCACAAAATTACTGAGGTCATAAATCATGATTGATACATTATACATTACCATTCAAAGATTTGAGTTCAGTACGATTTTTTGATGATTTTTTTTAAAGGCTACATTTATTTGATCAGAAATGCAGTAAAAATCATAATATTGTGAAATATTATCGCAATTTCAATTTTAACTGAATATTACGGTTTCATCGACTTGGTGCTCAAAGAAACATTTATTATTATTATCAATGTTGAAAACAGTTTTATTGCTTAATATTTTTGTGGAAACAATGATACTGTTTTAAAGGATTCCTTGATGAATAAAACGTTTAAAATAACAGCATTTATTTAAAATAGAAATCTTTAGCAGCATTTTAAATGTTTTTTTACTGTCACTATTGATCAGTTTAATGCTTCCTTACTGGAAAAATTTATTAATTTTTTTTTTTTTTTTTTAAATCCCCAAATAATGACCTAAATTTTTTGAACAGTAGTGTGTCTTACATTATTTTTTTAATAATAATACATTATTATTTCATTGTGTGAAAAAAAGAGCGCAGAGAATGGAATGATAAATAAAAATTTTGTAAAAATTGTTGCTTCGATATTAGAGATTATACTAGTAATAATCTTCTAGAGTTATAATAAATTATAATACATAATATATACTATTATTTAAAAATTATAAATAATTAGTCAAGTCACCTTTATTTGTATAGCGCTTTATACAATACTGGTTGTGTCAAAGCTGCTTTACTGTCAAACAGGAAAATAGTTCGTCAATAATTCAAGAAGACAATAACAGAGTCATTCTTCAGTCAGTTCATTGATGATTCAGTGATGTCATCATCCAGTTCAGTTCTCCTCCAATAGTGTCTGTGCAATCAGTCAAGCGTTAAATAGAGTTAAATATTGCTTTGATATTATAATAAAATGACCTGTGTGTGCGTGTGTGTAGAAGCGTGTAAGTCCCAGCCAGATTCAGGTCCATGTTTCGGGATGTTGCAGCGCTACCATTACAACTCATCCATCATGGCCTGTCAGATGTTCACCTATGGAGGCTGCATGGGGAACCAGAACAACTTTGTGACTGAAAAGGAGTGTCTGCAGAGCTGCCGCACTGAGGGTGAGTGTGTGTGTGTGTGTGTGTGTGTGTGTGTGTGTGTGTGTGTGTGTGTGGTTTTATTATACACACATGTATTTTGTCCCTCAGCCGCCTGCAGGCTGCCCATGGATGCTGGTCCTTGTAAAGTGTTCACAGACCTGTGGGCCTTCGACTCTGCCGCTGGAAAGTGTGTGTCTTTCAAATATGGAGGCTGCAAGGGTAATGGCAATAAATTCTACAGCCAGAAGGAGTGTGAGGAGTACTGCGGCGTTATGATGAGAAATGGTGGGACACACACATTACACCAGAAAATAGCTGATTTTTTTCATTAATGTCATTCATATTATTTTCAAAATTGTAAGGAGAATTGTGACGCTTGTGTCGTTTTGTTATGGATTTGCAGGAGATGACGAGTTTCTCACAGTGAACTGAGTATGGTGTGAATGAAAATGGAGCTGTGACTTTGTTTCAAACAGAAAAGTGCAACATGGATCAGTTTCCAACAGGCATTAACTTCAACATTAACACAATAAATAAAGACCTGTCCAATGTACTGGTTGTGCACTTCATTTTCCATTTGACTGTGCTGCTGTAGGGGACTTTTTATTCTTTAATTTAATTTTTTTATTTTATTGTTTTCCATCACTTTAAAAATAAATCTCAGTAAAATTATTATTATTTAAAAATATTTCATTTTATTTTATTATTTTTTTGTTTTCTTTTGCTTTCTTTAACAATAAAAATCAGTAAAAAAATAAAACACATTTTAGTTTATTTTATTTGACTTTTCGTATTATTTTATTTTCCAGTAAAATTAATTGTAAAATTTCATTTCATTTTGTTGTCCAGTGTGACATTTTACACTGGACTTTTTCCTTTTACTTGTTTTATTTGACTTTCTTTTATTCTATTATTACATTTTATTATTTTGCTTTCTTTAAAAAAAAAATTTATGAAAAAAAAAATTAATGTTATTTTATTTTATATTACTGAATATAGTATTTTTTTATTTCTTTAAAAATAAATTTCAATAAAGATAAAACATTTTTTATTTTCCAGTAAAAATCATTATTTCATTTTGTTTTCCAACATGAATAAAACAATTTTACAAATTGTCCTTTATTTTATATTTTATTTATTTATTTATACAAACATTTTATTCACTTTTATTTTATTTTGCAGTAAAAATTATTTATGTTATTTAATTTGATTTGATTCTTGGGATGTCCAGATTTTTTTCTTTTCACTGGACATTTTACAATTGCCCCCAGTCTCTCCTACTGACAGTGGCCAAGAGAGGTCAGTGTTGTCTACTGACGGAGATCTTCTTACCAGCTCTAGTCTTTGGAATTGTGTGAAACTGCCTGCTCAACTGATTTCACTGCTGATCTGTGACCAGTTTTAGCGTCCTTGTTATAATAGCAAAGCAATATGTTCAGGCTCATGACGCTGATCCTGCATGCAGGCAAAAACAGTCCATTCTGAGCAAAGTCCCCAGCAGCCCAACCAGGCTTCCTGCCCGCTGTTTCTCAGAATTCACGGCTGGTGATGTTGCTGGGAGAATGCTGGGAATATCCGGAAAGGAAAAAGGAACTGACGGCTTTCAGTGACCTTCCTGGCAGGGCCACATCACCTGCTCACACACAGCCTCACACAGACACAACCGCTCTACAGCCCAAGACAAGCATCCGCAGCGGCTCCAAACACTATTCGGATACTTAATGCCTGCCTAAAACGTTTGAATTGCATTGCATTTGCTACAAAATATCAAACCAAGTCTGTGCACAAATGGTACTCAAGCTTTTCTCAGAAAATATTTTACTTTTATGAGCCATTTTTGCTGTTACTTTTAGTTGATTTTAGTGGATGTATGAAGTCCGTTCCCTCACGTTCATGCAGGTGTCCTAACAGAGGAACCACAGGTGTAGTTACATTACGGTTTGACACCTACAAAAGTGTCCATAGCATTAATAGAATGAAACCGCACTAAGACGTGTCTCATATAAACACACACAAACGTTCACATTTACAAACGCATGCTGCAGCAAACACAAACCCACGAAACTACATCACACTCATAAATTACACCAACTCACACATTTTCAGTTTCACACACATAGGCTACAATGCAAAATCTGAACTTCCTCAGACATCACACGCATTTGTTACACAGGCGTTCACACAAAAACTGTGTGAAAATGCAAAATTGCATGTTAGCGGTTAGACAGAATATCACCACTACCGGTTTATTTCAAACCCACATCCATCTACTGTATAGAAAGATGCATACAAATGGTATGATTAGTGATTTATATCAAGAAAATCATTCATACTCATTGGGATTTCAACTTTTTAACTTCAAGTTCTGCACTTTTTGTACAAATCCTGCAGCTTGTTGTGAAGAGATTATTTTTACCACCCAGGGGCCGCTTGCATAAACTGTTTAAACTAGTCTTTAAAAGTTAACCATCCAATAGTTTTTTTTCCAAGACTTGTCATAACATTTATGAAAAGGTAGACTGGCCAAACTGATTACCTCTTGGCTAACTGCTAGTTGGTCAAACTAGTTCTTAAGACTCATGATGCGTCCCAATTTGCCTACTTCTACTATGCCCTAAAAGTATGTACTCTTTTTGTGAAACAAAAAGTACATACTTTTGAGTATGTGGCAGAAGAGTAGACAAATTGCGACTTTGTCATAATTACGTCTTTAACAAACCACTCTGTAGCTTAGTTACGTCTATTCTGCTACCGTTTAAACTGCCCTGTCAATCATCTTGTCACAGTTATCCTTCACATTTCAATTCATTTAATTTCCTACCGTGTTGGAGAGAAATGAAGAGGCATGCTGATCTGCCAATCCCCCTTATGTGTTTGCATAATGATGTATTTATCAGTTAATGACCCAACTTATCTTTCACAGTTCACAGATGAAATATAACGTGGATAACATTAAATAATTTTTTCATCAGGTTAGATATTGATTAATAATTAGTCAGCAAAAAACCAAACCAGTCCATTTTAGGACATTAGGACTTTAGGACGGACGCAAATTGGGACGCAGCATCGGTCTTATCATAGTGACTATGTTTATGCAACTGGCCCATGAACACCTTAGCAACTGCATAGCAACACCCTGGAAACCAACCAGAACAACTTAAAGGTGGTTTATGTATTTTTGACTGTACTAAAGCATGAAATACCATAATACATTTGCAGACATTTAGGAAACATGCTGAGTTTACATACTTTTTTCTCTGAAAAACAGTACAGCCAGTTATTCTACATTGAAATGTGCGTTCTGTGTCAGAATGACTGTTTTTGTTTTGATCTGTGTGATTTCACCCAATGCCAATTTACCCAGTAGTATTTCGACACCCCAGGTTGCCAGTTGGCAGAAAGCACAGCGTATTGAACTAGTTGTGTTCAACCAAGTCTCTGCCTTTCTCACACAGAACAACCTCCTGGACAGCAACCAATCTGGCTTCAGAAGTGGACATTCGACCGAGACTGCCTTGCTCTCAGTTGTTGAAGCCCTAAGACTGGCAAGAGTGGCTTCCAAATCTTCTATACTTATATTGCTGGATCTGTCCGCTGCTTTCGATACAGTGAACCACCAGATTCTCCTGTCAACCCTGTTGGAAAATGGCATCTCAGGAACCGCACTCCAGTGGTTTGAGTCTTACCTCTCAGATAGGTCCTTCAAGGTATCTTGGAGAGGTGAGGTGTCCAAGTCACAACATCTAGCTACTGGGGTGCCTCAGGGCTCAGTTCTTGGACCACTTCTCTTCTCTGTCTACATGGCATCACTAGGTTCTGTCATTCAGAAACATGGCTTTTCATATCACTGCTATGCTGATGACACTCAACTCTACCTCTCATTCCATCTTGATGATCCGACGATAGCTGCTCGCATCTCAGCATGTCTAACAGACATTTCTTGTTGGATGACGGACCATCACCTTCAACTCAACCTGGCTAAGACAGAACTGCTTGTGGTTTCAACAAACCCATCACTATATCAAAATTTAACCATCCAGTTAGGCTCATCAGCCATAACTCCTTCAAAAACAGCTAGAAACCTTGGAGTTGTGATTAATGATAAGCTGAATTTCTCAGACCACATTGCTAAAACTGCCCGGTCCTGCAGATTTGCTTTATACAACATTAGGAAGATCAGGCCCTTTCTTTCAGAACATGCAACACAACTCCATGTTCAATCTCTAGTTCTATCCAGGCTGGACTATTGCAATACTCTCTTGGCAGGTCTTCCAGCCACTTCTATCAAACCTCTACAATTAATCCAAAATGCCGCTGCAAGATTAATCTTTAATGAGCCGAAAAGAACGCATGTAACACCTCTGTTCATCAATTTGCACTGGCTACCAGTAGCTGCTCGCATAAAATTCAAGGCATTAATGTTTGCCTACAAAACCACCACTGGCTCTGCACCCATTTACCTAAATTCATTACTTCAGAGTTATGTACCCTCTAGAAGCTTGCGTTCTGCAAGTGAACGGCGTATTATTGTATATCTATGTCGCTATGTGGGAAGATTTGCATAACGCCACCGAAATGTTCACGCAAAGAAAGAAGGTGTAACTTTTATTCTCGCTGTAGTATTTTTGTTGCCGCCGCCATGTAGTGAAGGCACTGTGTGCTTCGTTGTGAAAGCGAAACTACTTTGTTTGGCCTTCCAAAAGAGGACGATATCTGCTTCGTCATGCCTGGAGCTGATCCGTGCTGGTCCGAGGAAATACTACAACTTTGCGCTGTGGAGTGTGTGTATGGGGGGGGGGTTGAGAGTTGTCCCCCCTAAAAATATGATTAAAAACGGCGCTGTGTATTGTAAATAACATTATATACTTTAATCTATAGGCCTATGTCCTCTTCATGCAACTTACAAGGAACTACTTCTTTTTTCTTGGCTTTTGCAACTTGTAATTATTGCATATCGCCACCTACTGTACAGGAGTGTGTAAAGGGACTTGGAAGATACTTTACTTGGGGGGGATAACCACAAAGGGTTATCTTTTCGTTTCTAAATTCTTCCGCCACCTACTGTACACGAGTAGAGTAGTGTAGAGGGACTTGGCAGACTTTACTTAGGAAAAATACAAATAATACAAAAAACCACAAAGGGTTACCTTTTCGTTTCTAAATTCTTCTTATTAATCCTGTATTTTCAAGAAATATAAACAAAGCTTTGAAACTATTTCTTTCCATCCCTTGTTCTCTAAGAATATCTTCAATGTTATTTTCTTCGTCCATTTCCTGCCATTTCTGCCTGTATTCATGGTATTTATTGCATTTAAACAATACATGTTCTATATCTTCCTTGGTTTGACATCTTGTGCATAATCCATTACTCTTCCCTATTATCTGCAATGTATTAGTGATGTTAGGTTCTTGAACGAATCGTTCTTTTGAGCTGGTTCTCAGGAAGTAACCGGTTGAGCCGGTTCACAAATCGAACTGAATCGAACTTTAGTTCCGGGTTGATGACGCAGGACGCACAGCCGAAGTAGCACGTCCAACTCAAAAAGAACTGAA